CTGGTAGTGAATATCAACACATAGCTATAGTCAGTTTAAAAAAATTTCAACTTTTCTAAAAATAAATTACATCTGAAAGGACCTAGCGGAATAAGTAAAAATGCCCCCACGGCTTTTAGAGTTAATCTTTTTTTCTAAGGTTACTCATATAAAAAGATGCTTACATATCAAATTTTAGGTTTTTATATGGAGACCTGATCAAATTAGAGAGGGAAAAAACGATTTTTTACAAATTTATGAATTTAATTTAGTAAAAATTCAATTAAAATTATGAAAAAATTCTGAAAAATTGGTACTCTGAAATACTGATGAGAATTTTTTAAAAATCTTTTTTAATGCGAATTTCAATTCTGAAAAAAATAAAAATAATTTTTAAATATTTTTTTCACCCCGATTCCGTTGGTTGACCACTTTAAAAAAATTTCATGTCAATTTCTGTTCAAAAAACTGTCTAAAAAATATATATTTTTTAGATTTTTTCAAAAGATGGGCCACATTGAGAAAAATTAAATTATATTTTTTCGTTAATTTGATGAAATAATGAGCAACACAAACCGTTTTTATCAGCTCGCTAATATTTTATTCATCTATAATTCTTATCTATTCTCTCTCTCTTCATATTAAAATATTTTGATGAACACAAATTGAAAGTGATATTCTCATTTTTCAATCATTGGGTTGAAAGGCAGTTATTTTTATTTAATTAATTACGAATTACATTTATACGTTAGACTATCGTTTTTAAAAAATAAGGGGGAGGGGCTATTATATCTAGATCAACTTGCTTCATACCGCCGATGAAGAGTTCTGTGATACCCGAAACGTTCGATTTTACATTTAATGTTAAAGTGAATTTATTTTGAACAAATTAGAATTTTTGCTCGTTCACAATTATTGGCCTTTTATTAATTATTGTAATTACATTTATATTCTGACACAGTTATCATATATTATATTAATGTATCATACAGGATGGCCCACATAAAGTGTTACAAGCTAATGACTCTAAAAATATTTGTCCTATTAAAAAGTTGTTTATGAGAAAGTTTCATATATTCGAGGGGCCTTTCTAACTACGTAAACAAAAATCCACCCCATCCCCCCTTGAAGAGGAGCGGAGGATAACTTCAAAGTTTCAAATGGGACCCCCTGTAAAATGTTACATATTTGAACTCTATGGGGAAAAACAAATAAACTTTGTCTGAAACATTTCTTTAGAAAATGCTCCCATCAAAAGTTATAAACATTTAAACTTTAATGTAGAGTGCATTGAAATTAATGATAAATTAAATAAGACTCATAGTTTTTCTGTTATTTTTATTTTATTAAATGTTCGAACTGTTGACTATTAACATCTAAATACTTATTAATTCTTTTTACAAAACTTTGCCTAACTCTAAACAACATTTCTGGATTCACCTTAGTAAATGTTGCTTCATCAGAAAAAAGAATATTTTGCAAAAATGAATCATTTATCATGGCATCACGCATCCACTCGCAAAATATTACACGATGTTCATAATCAGTTTCCTAATGATAAATTAAATAAGACTCATAGTTTTTCTGTTATTTTTATTTTATTAAATGTTCGAACTGTTGACTATTAACATCTAAATACTTATTAATTCTTTTTACAAAACTTTGCCTAACTCTAAACAACATTTCTGGATTCACCTTAGTAAATGTTGCTTCATCAGAAAAAAGAATATTTTGCAAAAATGAATCATTTATCATGGCATCACGCATCCACTCGCAAAATATTACACGATGTTCATAATCAGTTTCCTGAGTCAAAATCAAACGATGCGGATGAAATTTTTATTTTTTCAAAATCCGCTGTATTGAAGATCGTCCAGATGTGTTTGCTAATTCGCGTTGACTGACATATGGATTTACTTCAACTGCAGCGAGAATATTAGCACAATTATCATTATTAACTATTAGATTTGCTTTTTGTCTTTTAATTGCACTTAATTGACCATGTACATGCAAACGATTTTCTAAACGAAGAAATGCCATATGCGATTTTTGAATATTATAACGTTCTAAAAATAACTGTGCTGCACGTCAATAATTTTTCTCACATTCTCCCAGAATTAACAAAATATTAACTTCCTCAAAATGAGCCATAATTTTCGAACTTGATAGCATGAAAACCAGCTCATAATAACTAAATACTGTAGATCTGTATTTACGTTTCCCAATAAAGGTGTGTATTTATGTTTCTTTTGGTTAACATCAAGGCCGTTTTCGTTTTCATTGTATCGTGAACACAACTTTGTGTCAATGGAGTTCAATCATGAATAAAATGCCTAAAAGTTTAAATGTTTATAATTTTTAATAGGAGTATTTTCCAAAGAAATGTTTCAGACTAAGTTTACTTGTTTTTCCCCGTAGAATCCAAATATATAACATTTTAGGGGGTCCCATTTGAAACTTTGAAGTTACCCTCCGCCTCTCTTCAAGGGAGGGGGAGCAGGAGTGGATTTTTGTTTACGTAGTTAGAAAGACCCGTCGAATATATAAAACTTTTTCATAAACAACTTTTTGATAGGACAAATATTTTTAAAATTATTAGCTTGTAACACTTTACGTGGGCCATCCTGTATGATATATTAGTATAATATATAATAACTGTGTTAGAATATAAATGTAATTACAATAATTAATAAAAGGCCAATAATTGTGAACAAGCAAAAATTCTAATTTGTTCAAAATAAATTCACTTTAACATTAAATGTAAAATCGAACGTTTCGGGTATCACAGAACTCTTCATCGGCGGTATGAAGCAAGTTGATCTAGATATAATAGCCTCTCCCCTTATTTTTTAAAAACGATAGTTTAACGTATAAATGTAATTCGTAATTAATTAAATAAAAATAACTGCCTTTCAACCCAATGATTGAAAAATGAGGATATCAGCTTTTAATTTGTGTTTATCAAAATATTTTAATATGGAGAGAGAGAGAATAGATAAGAATTATAGATAAATAAAGTATTAAAGAACTGATAAAAACGGTTTATGTTGCTCATTATTTCATCAAATTAACGAAAAAATATAATTTATAATAATTTTTCTCAATGTGGCCCACCTTTTGAAAAAATCTAAAAAATATATATTTTTTTAGACAGTTGTGTGTGTTGTGTGTTGAACAGAAATTGATATGAAATTTTTTTAAGATGGTCAATCAACGGAATCGGGATGAAAAAAATGTTTAAAAGTTATTTTTAGTTTTTTCAGAATTGAAATTCGCATTGAAAAAGATTTAAAAAGAATCCTCATTAGTGTTTTGGGGTAACCAATTTTTCAGAATTTTTGTAGAATTTTATTTGAATTTTTACTAAATTAAATTCGAAAATTTGTAAAAAATCGTTTTTTCGCTCTAACTTGATCAGGTCTCCATATAGAAACTTAAAATTTGATATGTAAGCGTCTTTTTATATGAGTAACCTTAAAAAAAAGTCAACTCTAAAAGCCGTGGGGGCATTTTTACCGTATTTATTCCGCTAGGTCCTTTGTATAACCTTATCTCTTGTCTTTTTCTTCTTCCATATTTTGCTTAATATGCAAACTTGATTTATTCAACATATCGAATTCCTTGCCAAACGTTGAATGCGCCGCGTAAATCACCGTATCAACAATGAAAAATATTTGAGGATCACTGTTTAAACGAATATTAGAGGAACTACAATCAATTTGCCCGTATTGCTATTTTTATCTCTGAATCCGGTATATACAAGATTTTATATACACGCACATACATGTATGTATAATCAAAATTGCTGAGCGCGAAGGGGTCAACAAGCCATCCTATTCGCTGAAATATAGTTGAAGATCGTGCGTCAATTCCTGCTTTAATTCGATGAAAAGTTCCATTTCGTACAAAATTGCAATGCAAAGCATCTATACATAAATACAATATAATAACCGCGCGCGTATTTTGCTACAATGGAAACTGTGGTACAGAGCGATACAATGTATAGGCGCGCGTATTTATGCTCCTCTACAATTATGCGCCTTTTCTTTTTACGGAACAGATCTTTTCTTTTTACGGAGCGCTGTTTCGTCATTAAGCTGCGACAACGAAACCACGAGCGAACGTGATAAAGATCGATACGATTCCCTTTCTCCTTACATACGATTCCTGTTATGTACCGCGCGCGATAACGAGTTCGCCAGTAGTAATCTACGCTGATTGCTGCCTTCGGGGTGTCACGTTTCACTTTATTTCACAGGCGTTTTAGTTTACGACTTCTTCGGGCGCGAATTTATTTTTCGCGTTAACGACACCTACGCTCTTCGTAAGATACGCGCCAAGCCAATCTTCTACGGTCTATATTTACGCTTTATGGTAATCACAAAGATTGTACGCTTACTTCGGAATTAAAAACATTTTATCACTTACTGTACGGAATTTATAGAAGCTATGAAAAGTTCCAATGATCAATCTCTTTAACATTTGATTAGATAGCAAGAGAAAACGCTAACTTGACGGATCTAGTTTTCACAGCACACAAATCAGGAGACAATTGAAAAATCAGCAAACAGTAGGACATAAGCTAGGACTAGTTTAATCCGTAATCGGAATATAACGTTAAAATTTCCAAATCGCACGCGAGAGCGAAATAAAAAGATTCATGTAGCATTGATCGTAAGCCGCGCCGCATGCCTCGTCAGAAATATCAAAAATTACCTCGTCCACAGAGAGCTAACAACGCTGCAACGTAGAGAAAACGTTAGCAGCCAGGAAGGTCGCTACTTTGTTACAAAGCGATACGCACGTGCCTCCTCTTCTGTCGCGAGAAGTTGAGTATGGAGCGGTCGATACTTGGCCTTTTCTCTGAGTTTCACGAGAGTTGCCTCGTATTTGAAAACTGCTCCGAAGCGTAAGACGTTTCCATGGAAGTCCAGCACTCGCTGCTCCCAGATCATTCTGGGAATTGAGACGATCGGTACCGACACGATTGCGCCGAAGCGGATGGTCCCCTCAAAACTCTTTTACAGAACGTGCAGATTCTCACAACTCTTTGACTTGCTGTCGCGCGCCCAGACCTTGTCAAGCAAATTGCGCACCTTCAGGCTGGTGCTGGTCCGACTGCCGCGATATTTCTTAGGCGAGTTGTTCTCCGAGCACGAACCCAACGGCGACTTGCTGCGGTTCTTCCGCGATCTTTTACGGAACATCTCTCTAGTCCTCTCGGGATTCTCCAGCTTCAGGCGAATTTGCGTCAGCAGACCGACCAGTAACTCATCGACGTTGTGATTAATTCCGACGGATGTTTCGATGAATTTACAATCGTAAGACGTTGCCATGGATTTGCCCTCTGTAACGATAAAATCGATTAAATTCGAAATGGTATTGCGCGCTCGAAAAATCTTTCGCGAGTGAACAGGTAATATATATATACCGCACATATACAGTGGCGTGCAAAAGTTTCCGGCCAGTGACATTTTGTACTCTAATTCATAGGAAAAAAGCTCGATAAAATTTTAATCATTATTAGGTGTTGGTACAAGATGTTGGTAACGAAATAATGTAAAGAAAGAATATTGTTTATGTTTATGAACATTTTTATTATTATAATTGTCATATTTACATGTGCAAAAGTTTCCGGCCACTATGTACTACGAGAAACATTATTAGTTCAAACAATTTATAATGCACTTCAGTTAGTTTAAATTATATTTCAATATCAATATTTTGTGGCCATACCCTTTGCAGCGATAACAACGGCACAACGATGTGGCATCGACTCGATTAGTCGATTAATGCAATCAGGCGAAATTTTATTCCATATGGAATAAAATTATTGAAATCGTTGAAAGAAGAATATTCTTCTTTCAACGATTTCAATAAAGCGGTCTTATTTGAATGTGTATGCTTCCGAACTTGACGATCTAACTGTTCCCATAAATGTTCTATCGGGTTCAAGTCCGGTGTTTGAGATGGCCAGCTTAAAACTTTTACATTTGCATCTGAAAACCACTTCTTTAACAACTTAGATGTGTGTTTTGGGTCGTTATCCTGCTGAAATATCCAATTCTGTGGCATTGTTTTTCCAGAATATGTTAACAAATGTTGTTCTAAAATGTCCTTGTAAATAGTAGCGTTCATACACCCGTTGATCTCTACAAGTGGACCGACTCCTTGTGAAAAGAGAAAACTCCCCAAACCATCACGCTTCCTCCACCGTGCTTTACAGTAGGAATTTAATATCGAATGTCATTTCTGGTACCAATAGGACGTCGAATATGCTGTCTTCCATCACTTCCAAAAAACTTAGATTCGTCTGAGAAAGTTACTCTTTTCCAATCTTCGACTGTCCAATTTATGTGATCTTTGGTAAACTGTAAACTTTTGGCCTTCTTATTCTTTTTACTGATAAATGGCTTTTTAATACCTATACGGCTAAAAAGTCCTACATCATGTAGCCTTCGTGTCACAGTACTACGGCTAACATCGGTAAGGTTTTCATCATGTAGTTCATGTGCAATTTCGGCAGCAGTTTTCTTGACATCCGCAGTTGATTTCCATTTAATGACACGATCTATTTTTTTAGATGTTTTTCGTGGCCTTTCACTACGCGGAAGATCTTTTAATCCATATCCAGCACGATATTTAGCAATAATATCATTCACGATTGATTTACCTATCGATAGTAATGAAGCGATCTGACGAAAAGACTTTCCATTTTTTATTCTCTCGCGAATTTGAATTTGCGTATGCCGAGCCATGGTTACGCCTTAACGACTTCCTACGAATTAAGTATAATCATTGAACGCGATATTGTATGTAAACAAACCATTAGAGTCCTACACTGAAAAAAAAGATTGTCTGCTGCAGCAAATTAAATGGTAAAATATGGCATAACATTTTTAATTGGCTCCAGCAGCCAACTTTTGATTGCATTAGCCTATCCATAATGTCAGTATAGGATTTCGATAGGCTAATGCAACCAAAAATTGCATATTTACTATCTAATTTGCTGCAGCAACCATCTTTTTTTTTAGTGTACTGTAAGTCAAATATATTCAGTGGCCGGAAACTTTTGCACATGTAAATATGACAATTATAATAATAAAAATGTTTATAAACATAAACAATATTCTTTCTTTACATTATTTCGTTACCAACATCTTGTACCAACACCTAATAATAATTAAAATTTTATCAGGCTTTTTTCCTATAAATTACACTGTTAAATCTATAGTGTCAAATTTAACTTAACGTGAGTCGCCACTGCTCCTACTAAATATATCGTTATTTTTTATCAAAACGATAGTTAAATTTGACACTGTATCGTGTCAATTTGACACTGTATAATATCAAATATAACCATTGTTTTAGTATAAAATAACGATATGATTGAGTAGGAGCAGTAGCGACTCACGTTAAGTTAAATTTGACACTATAGATTTAACAGTGTAGAGTACAAAATGTCACTGGCCGGAAACTTTTGCACGCCACTGTATATTAAAAATGCGGAATAGAGTATACACATAATCCGATAATCTCGCAACTTTAAATTATATAAAATGTGCTGTAGAGGATCTTTATGAGTTATATTATCATATGAAACCCAAGCCGAAGTTGTAAAAATTAAGAATTTATAATAAAACTTAATAACGTTTCTTATTATTTTTTTCTACTTGCATCGGACTCCTCTATAAATAAATAAATTCATTGCAATCCTGATACTATATTATTCAATTCTAGTTACAAAATATATCATTAAAGCATCATACGATATGTTGTCGGACATGTTGCGGACAGATGCAGTATTATAGAAATAAATGCATAATTGCGAAAAAGATGCTATTATAATCTAGTGACGTTTAACAATACAGAGAAAGCGTATTCTATGCATCGCGTCCGCCGGGGAGGAGAGGGAAAAGGAGAGGGAGGGGGTTAAATGGCTTTTCCCCGCTCTACTGTCCTCGGAGAATTTGCATCGGAGCAGACCGAGATGCTGCGTCAGTACATTTACGTACGATGCGTTATCTACGATCGCCCTACATCAGCATTTCACCCTAAATGCCACCCAAATGATAGATAGACACCTCGTTTCTTGAGCACGTTCCTAATCGCGCAGCGATTTCCATTTTCGCGTGTCTCCGCGAACTATTCGATTTGGGATAAGTAACTATGGAGAAAGAAAAAGGAAATATATATGTATATATATCATGATTATCTGGGCCTAAAAAATTACCTTCGGTCGACACCAGTCGACTGCGAACGAGATCGACCTTGTTCCCTACGAGGATAACCGCTCTCGCGGATACGTGATCACTCCGCCATAAGGATTGGAGAACCTCCTCGGCGACGCGCACCGACGCCCGATCGGTCGTAGAATAAACGACACAGTATGCGTGCGGTTCGTAAGTCGAGATGCAATTTTCCGGCTGTAAACATTAATCATAACGGAAATAGATTAACACTAATGACCACAATCGAGTTTATTTGCCACCATTTCCAATTTATGAAACATATTATTTGGTCGGCACATATGAAACAGCAGTTTCGCATCGATATTTTTTTTGGATAATGTATTAATTACACGACAAATTAATTATACTAATTAAATCAAATTTTAATTGCATTATATTTTCATAGCAAAAAGTCAATTCAGCGATTCTAACTTTTATACAAAAAAGTTTCTTTCGTTGTTGCGTTAATCTTAAAATATGTAAAACCCGTGTACGCGGACGTAGAATAATCTATTTTTTTAAAACTTCAAACACGCGATACAATTTTCCGAATGTACATAAATATTATTATTAATCATGACGAATATTAACATTAACGGTAATAATGAATTGCCTGGTAGTCTTTATTTTCGATTTATGATATCTATTTTTGTTAACATGAAACAGTTTCATGTTAACAAAATTCAGGTAAAAATCACGTAATTTTCAGAGAAATTAATTAATATAATTATTTCATTTTTTAGTTGCATTAACTTTAATATTACATATAAAAAGTCTTTCTTTTGCATTTTAAACCATATCCTATCAATCCAATTCATCCAATGAATCAAATATAAAAGCACCTATCATATTTCACATTAAATTTTCCCATCCTACAAATAATGTAATATTTTTTTATTTTCTTTCAACGAAGAGCCAAGATTTTCCTTCAGTTAAATGTATTATAAAGAAGAACGCATCTTTTGTATGATAAAAAAATTTATATTATAAAAGAAAATTTTTGTAAAACAAGGCATTATGAAGGTGAGCTTGAGAAGTCTGCTATTACACTTTAGGCATAACTTTTATATGTATACCTACATATAAAAGGAATATTATATATCTATAGATTCCTTGTAGCGTATAATTATGGTGATGGCAGAAACAGCCACAAAGAACAAAATCAGACAAAAGAGTTGAAATAAAATTTATTTTATAGTATAAAATTATAATTAATGATCTTTAAATATTTTTTAAGTCTTCTTGTTCTGATCATTAATAATGCCGATGAGTCGAAAGAAAAAAATCTTTCAGTATATATAAATAAATATATACATATCTATATGTATATATATATCCCGGGAAAAAATGGTCTATGCATGATTACACATGAACATATAAAATCATGCGTTAAATAATGTATAATTTTGAATGCTTTGTTTAATAAAAATTGAAACTTGAGCGAAAACAAGGAAAAAAATAGAAATCTGTTAGAAATGTATAATTAGCAATAAGGATATCGAATTCCGGATCTTTCATTTCGGAGAAAGTTGAAATTAAAATTTTGTTTATGCCAAAAAAGATCCAGATTGCAGACGAAGGATTAAAAACATTTATCTTTCAGTTTATAAGGCGCAATCAAATTTCGCTGGTTATTATTACATCCAGTTAGAGTAAAAAGTTCCTGGAACATATAATTGCAATCGCAGCGTTATTGGGACACCCACCGAGTACTAGGCAATAAATATCTCCGGGCGATCTTTTTCACCATATTCCATAATTGGTGCCCGTAACGAAATCCACAGTCGAAACGAAATCCCTAGTTTAGAAACGAAAGAGAGATGAGCTAAAATCACTATAAGAACCTAAATTGTATTTCAGTGGAGCTTTGGAAAAGACGGAGTATAATATTCAAACTAAGTTGGGGCGATAATCTCGCGCGGCTGTATCTAAATCTCGCTATCTAAATCTTAGTGATTTGCCGTAATCTTTCTGACCCAAATGTCTGTTTAATGTAAACGGAGACATACAAAATTGATTTATTCAGAAAAGCTCTTTTTATAAAAGCACGCGCGCGCGATCTGCTGGAACAATTTATTTATTTATAACTTTCGTAAGTATTTTCAGATAATTTATAATGATCATAAAAATACACAGGAAGTGATAAAATATTTCAAACGCATTGAATGTGAGTAAATCGGATTGTTGGTTTTTTTACTGACAAAAAATAAAAGTTCAGTTTGTCCGATTAAGGGGAGGGAGGGATAGCGTTAAATCACGTTAGCGCAGCCAATCGTTAAAGGTTAAGATCGTAACGAGAACGGGTTCTGTGATTTTGCGAACAATTATACGAAAGAATTACCTTAAACCGTATCAAAGGCGCGCTGCGCCTCATGATATTGAATATATCTAGAGATCGATCGCTTAACGGTCGAACGCGCGGCATGGCTCGATGCTCGTCAATGACTCGCAGCACGCCTGGTTGAACGGAGACAGGAGAGAACGAAGAACGCTTCGTTACTCCCTGAGGTCCCTTTTCTTATATCCCTCTAAGCTCACGCGGGAGCTTACGGTTAGTTCGTCATTCGGTAACTCTTACTTGATTTGTTACATAAAAATCGCAAATCTGACTACCGCGCTGCATTTGGATGCCAGACGAACCAGAGGCTCGAATAACATTGTTTCAAATGAGAATTTTCTCTGTTCCAAATAAGGATTTTTTTTACAACATGTATCCGAGCCGCTATACGAAAAGTAATGTTACTTATACGATATAATACATACGAGTATATATATATATATATATACTCGTGATATTAGTTTAAAAAGAATATCTCGAGGTTTTTTTTTTTTTTTCTTAATCAAATATTCTGCTATGCATATATATATATATACATTTCAATATCTTAATATTCCTATATATTTTATAATTATTATTATAAAAATAATACATTTAAGGATATGATTATTGGAGGACTATTATTAAGATTTTTATAATATTTCTCAAAGGATAGATTTACTAGGATATAGATTTACTAAAAGTAATCCAAAATTTATTTTAATCTTATCTCATAGGTGCTTCTTTCTCAAAATACATAAAATGGTTTAATCTGTTGACATTTTCTTAAATGTAATGCTATAAAGGAAGAGAACTGTATTAAAAATAGCATACGAAAAATCAATAATTGCGTGTTCATCTCGTTCCTTTCGTAGGTTTCTACGCATGTGATGAAAAGTACAATTACATAATAATTTGAGAAATTTAATTATTCTACGAAAATGACACCCAAAGGCAATATTGCTTTCGCATCGCGCATTATAATATATATATATATTTACGTGGGTATTTACATTGATTAAATAAAACATTATGTGGCGGCGTTTGACTTTAAAACGACGTAGAGTCAAGCGTTGCCCCATTTGCACTTAACTTTATTGGTAAACTTTGTTAATGAATTCGCGTAAATGTAATATAAATACGAGACTTTCTCTCTCTCTCTCTCTCCCTCCCCCTCCCTCTTTTTCTCTCTCCTTCGTATCTTGCTCTTTTAAATTTATAGAAGATGTTTCCTTAGATAAAATTTGATTTTGTCCGAGATCCTTTCGTAACTTTTTGATTTCTTTTCTCAATTTGATTCTCAATTCTGTTTCTCAATTTGAAACATTAATTCGTGAGTGCGAAATGAAAAATAAGTTGTATCTTTAAAGAGGTATTTTTATTTAAGATATCAAATTCTCGCCATTTACTTACGTATTATTTAATCATTCTTCTTTAATAAGAATTCTATTAGATGCTATCATTCTTGTGACTTCATTAATCACTTTGACAACCAAATTGCGAGTTGAAACATCGTTAAGATAAAATCCACTTAAAATTAGTCGAGCCACTCAATTTAAAAAAATTTTAGCTAGCTCAGTAGTAACTATGACGTATTGCACACAATATAATATTGCTCCAGGGCACGGACTATATAACGGAGTAACAAACTGTATACATTTAATAGCAGTTATATAGGTTAATAGTTAATGTATGTTTAACATTATGAATAATGGATGTATATTATAACCGCAAACCGCTGATAAATTACAGTGTTTATGCGCAATGTTATTTCATCAATATATCCATTTCTCAATAATCTATCTTCATTAATATATTAGTGTAACTTTATTTACGTGACATATCTGATGAAGTAATAACAGTGAAGTTTTTAAATTAAATTTTTAATAAAAATGTTATAGCTGCTTGAAAACGCGTTACGCTGTTCGCTTCACAAATCTTTGATCAACACGAAGTTAAATTTTCTTTAAGAAAACTTTTAAGAAAAATTTCAACGTCGTTCCTTTTCAATTTTTTAATTAGTCCATTATAAATAATTATGTTTTATGAATTAAGAATGTATTAAAGTTGCAAAACTGGTTTCACTTTCGATTATTTTATGGCTTGAATATTCAAAATCGTTCCATTTCTAATTGCCTTCCTTACAAAGAACTACCGATTTCTTGAGACATTTTTGTCAAGTTATCTCGAGTTGATTGAAGGATACATTGATGAAAATTGACTCTCTAAATCTAGGACAGGTCACAATACACCGTAGCAACCTGAGCTCGAAATTGTATCGGTTTCTTTTGTATAAAAATCCCCTTGCTCTTCAAACTTTCAAACGTATTTTTAAAAAATCACAAAAAACCAGATAAATGAAGCACAACTCGTTTTTTATTCAAGGAGAAATTTTTCTCCATTAATGACAATTTAGTTTCCTATTAGTAAATTTTTTGTATCTTATCTGTGTTAGAGATTGCCATTACAACAAGTTTCTCTGCATAATAAATACACATTAACTTAATAGAACCCGACCTAATATAATTCCGGGACTATCAATGGAAATCAGGAATCGCGGCCTCATGGCCTATAACGTAATTAGAGGTCAACCTTGACTCTCGGTACCAAGAATAATGGCGCGCCACAGATCGTTCCGGGTACGGCCTTCGGTAGCCGGAATTCCGTAGAATTTAGAAAGTTCGGAACTCGAGAGTTCGACCGCCATTAGCGCAATGCCGCAATGCAATCGTTCACCGTTTCGTCGACGTGCACGCGAAGATCGGCCGTAGCCGCGTGCGGAGCGGTCGACCGCGCGATATACAGTATATATATATATATATATATATATGTTGTATATGGCTGCGAACGTACGTTTTAATTAAAGGATAAATTCGATTGAAATTGTCTGGTGAAGCGTAGCAGCGGCTCTGCCCTCTCTTCTCCCTATTTCCCCTTCCTCCCCCGCAGTCGACCAACCCCCTTCTGACGTAGTTGTGTGTGTGCGTGTGCGTGTGTGTATCTATATCACGGCGAGGTTCCACATTTAGGTACACGTACAGCGTACGCAAGTATCATCGCGCGCGCCAGCGCGTCAGTTCGCTCGCCATGGAAAATGGATTTTAATTTAATTCCCGCGATACAAAAGCACATACCGCGTACTTCCTCCCGGACCGTCCTTTCAACCTGCTCCCTCCCCCCGTCCCCGTGTTAATTCGATTACGTCGTCTCCGTCGTCGTGAGAGCACTTCGCCGAAGGCGAAAGTTCAAGGCGCGATCTACGTCCGTTCGACGAAAACGAGAGAAAACTGGCTGACTGGGGGCGATCGAGCTTGCAGTAAAAATGATTAGTTCAGGGGCACGGAAAATTATGTCGTGCGCATCGGTGATCAATTGACTATGAAAACTCTGAAACCTGTTGTGAACTCATTGTTAGTTATATCGACGACTCTCATCGTTTCACCTTTCGCCGTTCTGTTCTTCTCTTGATGAAAATATGAGTGTCCGAACATCTGAATCATATACGGTGGAACACTTCTGCTCACTCCGTGATAACCGAATATAGGTTGCAGTATAACCATGATTTCGATTGGGATAACATTAGAATGTTAAATGAAGAACTTTGTTATAAAAAACGTTTAATATCTGAGATGCTCAATATTAAAAACCAAACAGTCTCTGTCTCCAAGCAGATACAAAGGGTCTTCATCGTGCTTACATATCAATAATCAACGCAATATTTAACTTTACAGTACCATACGTTCTATCATTTTAGACTACGTTCTATCATTTTAGACTACACGCACTAGTAAAAACGGTTTTAATAAAAACCGTTTTAGTTAAAATCTGTGTTGGTGTCTGTTTACACAATCAGGCGTATTTTACCTCCACCAAAAATAAAGTAGCTTTATATAACCTGATATGGAACCTGAGACGAAATATCCTTTGTCATTTCTTAACTTTAACGTCTAAAGTTGATAACATCGAATTTCGATACGTTAAACCGATTGAAGACCGTTTACACGATCACTTTCATAAAACGGTTTAGTAATGCCAAATCTGTTTCAGAAGAGGTTTGGATTTACTAAAACGGTTTTAATAACATCTGTATTAAGAGACGTTTACAGGACATTTAACACCGGTTTTAACTAAAACGGTTTTTATTAAAACGGTTTTAACTAAAACGGTTTTTATTAAAACGGTTTTACCAGTGCGTATAAACGTAGTCAATGTTAATCCGTTATCGTTGACACATTCAATTTTTACAAATTATTTTCATCTGTGATTTTACTTGTGACGCAATAATTTTTATATAGATTTTACTGCTATTTATACACATTGACGTATATCACATTTATACACTCTTTATAAAGTTTATATTTTTTGTTAAACGCGACTATGTTACCTTCACGATGCATCGTTATAGTAATCTGTTTTTTAATTATTAAGTGTCTGGTTTCAATTATCAGCATATTTTATCCAGATTTCTTGGACATATAAGCCGCTACTAGACTTACCGTCATTTCGGCACAAGAGTGATCGATGAAAGTCAATTCTGACTCCTCACCAGCCAAGAGTACGCTGACCGTCTTTTCGCCGGACTCGTCATCTGTAACATGAATGAAAATATAATTTAGCTTTCAAGTACATAGTTAATCTCTAAAGTGGCATCATGAACAAGTTAAACGTATATTAAATAACTGTATCTAATAATTAATTAATTAACAAATCAAACCATAGAACGATCGACTATTTTTTTTATGGAAAGACAAACACCTGAGATTAAGGCCGATATTCGTAGTCGATCATCATTTGAATAATCACATTTTTTTCATAAATTTCTAATTATTCGTCAGTCTACTATATAGTTAATTTTTTACAAGGAGATTTATTCTTCAGATATTTTTTAATTCATGAAACGCTGATTTATGAATTATTTGTTATTTCGACAATCTCACATTGATAAATCGTAAATTTTGATCATTATTTATTTGGATGATTTAAGCTTTATGTACATGAAACATTTTAATATGTTGTCACTTTTTCTTCTAACACATCTTCAATTATGCAATGATTATAATCATCCAAAATAAATTATTAAATAATTATATATTGGATAAATATTTTTTGAATTATTACTACATCTCTCTGAGATTATAGATACATAAACAAAATGTGTCGAAACAGAAATGCTCTAATTACTTATAGTCCAGCTCTTACTTGATAAATATATGTATAATTATTTAAGCTAATAATGAAAGAATAAAGACTATATGTATCGTAAATAATTACAGATTTTTCAAATTCGGATTCGTATATAAAATAGAGATCTGTAAAATATTAATCCAAAATATGAATCTGTAATTAATTCTCTTTCAAATAAAGCGTTCTCTCAATCACGAATTGAAAATGTAGGGATACCTATAGAGTGCAAGTCAAGTCAAATTCAAACTTTCTTGTTAGTAATGATAAGTTTGATAATTGGACAAGATTCTGAGACGTGAAACCGACACGACGTCACTCGTAATAACTTTATTCTAATTGTATAAAAAAAGATTTATTTCAAGGGAAACAGGAATTTATTTTGCACGAAGTGAAGTCTTTGGCATGAAACTTCGAATAACGAAATAATAGAGTGTTAGAATTTAAAATACATTTGGTTGATGCACAACGGATCGAATAGCAGGAGCCTGAAAATTGCGTTACGTTCCGAGCCATTAAAGGCTACTTCATATCACAGATTTTTCCGTAATCGTTCGAACAAAACAATTACATCACACTCCAAACTCGAATGGAGAACTTGCTCGTTTTCGTTTCAGCTAGCTCCCGGCTCTATCCAGTCGGTTCTCCCTTTTGGGATTCTTACGGGAATCGTGTCGTCGTATGCTATGTTCGATCGATTGGTGACTGGCCGGAAGGGGAACGAACGAAGAACCATGGATTTTGCAATCGCGATTGGCCGTAACTTATTGATCGACTTACCGATCGAAGTGTCGTAGGCGTGCAGGTATTCCGAAGTCATAAATTGAGACACCAACGAGCTCTTGCCAACGGCGGGGGCGCCCAGCATAAGGACGCGGTATGGTGCTGGACCTTGAGACGCGCTGCTCTCCCTCGAACTCGCCAATGAGCCCGCCGCCGAATTCCGCGCTGATCCCGGATACGAGGCAGTCAAGTGTTCCGTGCTGCGTCGAATAGAAGAAAGGCTAGGCGCGTATTGAGATTAGCATAGAATAAAATTTACCGTCGATTCGTATCAATACTCATTTCATAAAGGGGTTCGAGTATTCGAGAAAACAGGAAAAGAAACTAGCCACAAGTTTTTTTATTTTAGATTTTCGATAATTTTGGGGGGGGGGAGATTTTGAGGAATTTGCATAGATTACTTGCGCTATTGGACGAATGTCGCGGACATTTAGTCTCTTGAAACGTTATAATTTTTTAGATTTGTAATAATACTACAGTCGCGAATGAAAAAGATAGGCCTTATTGGAAAATTGAAAATGTGTGTGCACTTTTATTTTTCTATTATTATATAAATATATATACTTATTTTACACATTTTTTAGTTGTAAACAAGAATTTATAATAAAAATATAAATTAATAATTTTAATCAAATAATATAGTAATTTTTCATTCGCTGTAGTATTTCAGGCGCATAGATAAAACGATTATTAGATATTATTTTCAAATGAATCTGAAGACTCAGGTAGATTGGTTGACTTGTGTATAAGAAAAAAGTTATGAAAAAATTGAATTGCATTATAATCTTCAAAAGAAACTGTTACAATTATACATGATGAGAAATCATAAATGCTTGTGAAAAAGCTATTTAATTTTACATGACATAAGTACTCCGGATCAGATAAAAAGTAAAAAGTGCTTTTTTAAAACGAATATATTTCACTCTTATATTTCATACATTTATCTCTCTATTCCATGAAAATATTTGTTTAAACACTACAAATATTTTTTTAAGAAGATAACATTTTTTTTATCAAGAAGATACTTGTATAAAAATGAAATTATAATAACTCTTGTCTTCAGGAAATCTACCCCAGTTTCCAAACTTATTTGTTTTACCATTATTACTCGCGTTAATCGTAAATAATAAAATACAATCATGACTTATATGCAGATGTATGTATATTACACTATGTACTATGTAATACAATATAACACAAATAATACCGAACAATTTTTCGTGGAATCCCACTAAATAAGAAATAAATCCAAATGTCACGTATAGAAAGCGTCGTGAGATGTTTGAGATTCATAGCTATAGAAAGCCTCGTGAGATGTTTGAGATTCATGTCTTAAGAACATGTTTTACGAAAATATAAACTGATTTTATCTCAGCTGAAATTTCATTGGTTGAGTACTTCGTATAGCAATTTTTGGATTTTCAACTTCAAATATTTTGAGCAAGTAAGCTTTAAATTAGAATCCCGCGTTAAATTCTTTTTGAAATTAACTAAGAAATATAGAACTCTGTAGGTTAAGCCCTTTATTTTCTAAAGTCTCTCTCTATTAGACGCCCTCGAAATTATATTTCTCTTTAAATAAATTTTTACAGAGGAAAGATCAACTTCGATTTTGTCGCAGAGCACGTTCCTGCAATTCGATATAAATTTTAGAAAATATTCTGCGTATCGTAGTACATTGGAAATGTATTCCACGCGATATTCACTCCTCCTTTTATATATCGATATGAAACTCGACAGTCTAGAAAGGGAATAAGTATCGTAACAGGTTTATTCAATCGCGTGAATATTCAACGTTTCATACTTCGGTCGGTAGAATATGATTGTGAGTAATCAGCGCTTACAATGTTTAGTTACCTGAATCATTGATACTCTGTGTTTCATTAATTTATTTAGTTTGATATATTAAGCGCTGTTACATACAAATATTTTACAATACGTTATATTATATGGAAATATTCTTTTAAATGAAATTAAAATTCTTTTATACAGTCCGTATATGTCAAAAGTTTACATAAATTTAATAACGTAACATATTTATAATTAGACCATAAAATTATTTTGATCCTCTGTCACAGTTTGGATGAAGCTATCTTTTTATACTGTGTGCGCGAGCTCGGATATCTCTTCATCTTTTCTGCATAACGTAAATTTCTCGAGTGACATTTGAATTCCATTTGTCCTACTTTTTCGTAAAAGATATTTTTAATGTTCTAAAAAATAAAAATATACGACTGTCTCATAAACAAACTTAATATGCCATGTATAAACAAAGTGTCATATAAGATCGTGAATATACCAATTGTAAGTCACAAAAGCCTATCGTGATATAAATTAGACCTTAGTTTTAGTGCTTGAATATTTCGATGTGAATTTATACGCATAAATGTGTATAAATTTAAATATATACAAACGGAATATAAATGAATTTTATAGAAAATATTACACAATCGTTAGTTATATTGTTCATATCAAGAAAGGAGTTAGTTAATGACGAATTCGGTACACATGCACTGATTCTGTTCTGGTGCTGCCCTGAGATGGTGCGAGTGTAAAACCACTTCGATTCTATGCCAAACTGCATCAGAAACTGCGTCAGTGCAACATTTCTTAAACTCTTTCAGTTCATTCGGTTGGTCCGAATGTAAATTCAGCATTACACTGGATTAGTTTTCATTTGACGAATACGACAATCTGAACGCACTGATACAGTGCGTACAAGCCGAATGTGTGGCACTGAAAAAATTCGCACTCGGTGCAGTCTGCCGAATTCGTTATAAGTACCGACGCAACGGTTGAATCATACCTACATTGTATTTTCTAAATAAAACAGTTTTTCTTAAAGATGACAACACAGATGTAACGCTATGTAACATGGCTTAAGTACTGTCATTTTTGTTTTTCAACGTTACGAGTGGCATTTAAAATTGATTTTGTTTGGTGTCTGATCTAAATTTTCGTACAATTTACCTAAGATGTTATCAATACAAGGTGAGTAATGGAATTATAGCGTACTACAGGATTATAATTGATATTTAAACTCTTTTCAAGTATAGCATTAAATTAACAAAATTTGTACCTAAGTTATGTTATTGTTAGCAAATTTGTAAAAATATAAAGAGCTAGTCTTTATGATTCCCTTCATTTAAGATAAAATAACATACTAAAATTGGAGAGAGAGTAGTTGAATAATACTTTTATAATTATTATCTTTTGATATTTGTATAAGAAAAAGTATGTTTGTATTGAATCTTTTTAAGATAACTTACTAAAAATTATTCATACATATTATTTGTTAGATTTTAAGAAAATTTAGATTTTTCTTTGTAAAAACTAATGATTATTTATTAAAAGTATGATTTAGGAACTCAATGGTACAATTCAACAACCCAGTCTCCATATCGTATTAAAGCTACATTTTAAAAAATCTTATTTTAAACAATATACATAGGTCAATGTCCATTTCCGTAAAAATATTGTTTTGTTTTATTGCCAATGAATCAAAGTTTGATATAAGTACTGAAATGTTCTGATCTCTTCAGTACTTTTGTTACAATTTTGTTTAAATGTTAACGAGTACGATATAGGCGAGTTCCCCCTATAAAGAAACACAATGACGTCTCGCGCCAAAAGAGTATATACCTATATATATAGAAATATATCCTCGTAAAAGAGACATTATAATGTCTCTCTTTATATTCTTTATTAAATATGTTGTTTCATATTGTGAAATACTAGCGTTATACACAAAAATTAAATATGATATCGGATAACATTTTTTTTATCACAATAAAAGAGTGTACAAAAACATAATTCGTAACTGTAACAAAAGATGAATTTATAAATTTTTACTTAATTGTAATTTTCAATTTATCGACTAAATAAACGACTTGTTTACTATAATAAGTATAACAGATTTTTGAAGGTGTAGATTTATGTGAAATTAAATTATTTCATTGGATACTGATTTCATCGAACATTTTTTACACGAGATTATATAAAAAACTAGAATAAAAAGTATTTTAAATATAAAATACAAATGAGAGCATACTTTGCGAAGAATATTTCATGCAGAAAGTGCAATATATATTATTTCGAAATGCAAAACAGGAATTTTCCGAAAAGCAAGTACGAAATATAATATTTTATATCTCTACATGCTTTTTTATGCCAACTGCGCTTAGAATACCCTGCCCAGTTCCAATATATTTGCATGATGTCTGAAGACCACGCTCTAAGGTCCAACGCGCGTGTCTACGTAACTTCAACGCCACACGTAAACTCACGCGTTCGATCTAGAGCGACAGTCTAACTCGCTGTTGGCTGCGATGAGAAGGCGAACCGGAGATAGAGGTCGGAAATATTCTACGGTATGTTCCTTCCAGAGCAGACGAAGTAGTACAATCGTAAATATCACCGCTCGATCGTAGAATAGGTAATAAGTGAACATATCGATCGTATCGATGTCGCTACTGTTCGACACCTTGTTAACGAGAATACATTCTTGTCAATTTTGAAGCAAAATTCTTATGCACTGCGAGACTATAGAGAATACATCGCGAAAATGTTCAGTAGGGATCATTATTTGTCGATAGCAATGACAAAAGACTCAGAAATATAGAACTATAAATCTATTATATGTTATTAATAGTTGATACGAATCTACAACGTGATTGGTTAGACGACGGTTAGACACTAGAAAAGTATCACGATTTTTCTATTTTATTTAAATACAAAGGTTATAATAAGATCTGACAACTATAACTGTCTACATCATTCGCACGCGTGAATGTTTGAAATGAACATTCAAACGTCTTAGATTGGAACATACAGTACTTACCATCATATATATCACAAGAATATTTGTCAAATTGTTCCCCTTAACTATGCTTGAACTCACCTAGAGTTGCTGGACGCCATGCTATTGTTAGAGCGTGATCTGCGACTTTTTAGGGAATCACCCCGGTTTACCACTCCCTTGCCCGTGATGCTGAAATGCCGTAGTCTGTAGTATTCCTCCTCCACCCCGGTGTTAGGCATACTCGCTACTCGCGATCTTTGTTGCGGAAGACACAGATAATTCGGCCGACCGGAAGAACGACTCCCGGGAGCCTTTACTGACTGTGATCGGCTATGATGGGGGCTTCCGTATCTGCGGGTTATCCGATCGTCACTATTTGACTGTACAGGACGTCCAGAAGGAAAAATTCATATTTCAAGAAATAAAATTACTGAAATTTTTTAAGATTCAAAAAAATTTCATAAAAGATAATATAATATATTTAATAATATATCCTTGCAAATTATTAAAGGCACAGACTACGTTTACATTGCTCGATTTACGCTGAAGTTATAATATCGATGTTTGTGAAACTGGCCAATCATATGCTATTCCTTTGAAGAATGGAATGACTGTGGTTGGCCAATTTCATGATATCAATGTTATAATTTCGGCGTAAATCAAGCCGTGTAAACGTAGTTATGTACTATATCTTTTTAATGTAGCATATTTCTAAATAATTTTTAAACATTTTTGAAACATGATATTTTTAAACAATAATATTAAATATTAAATCTCATAGGACCGTACATGTGAGAACACAATCAATAGGAAATAAATGCCTTTAACGGTTTAGTTAGATCTTAAATGCTCTCTCTCTTGTATAATTCTGTATGAATTTATATACTACGTATGTAGTTCTTTAAACTGCGCGCCGAAATGGTTTTTTCGGACTTGAAACGCAAACTCTACTAAACTACCGCAGTAATATCACGAGTTAAATTGATTAGCAATTTAACACTTCGATGCTCTTACGCATCTTAGAATGATCTTAATAATGCTGAATGACATATTAAAATTTGTAAATAATTAATTCTTATTACGGAAAATATTACCGGGAGTCGACCGGATCTTAAGCATTCCATGCGAGCGTCTTAAGCCTTTAGATCACCGAGGCAAGGAGGTTTAAAGGATTACATACGTAGTATATAAATGTACATAATATAATGTTAATAGTATAATATTAATTTTGTGAATCACTATAATAATTATACACGTAGAAATTAGCTTAAATGAATATAATACTTCCTTGCTTAAAAAATGACACAATTAAAAAAATTAAATTCTTTAGAAAAGAAGAAAAATTATTTTTCAACTTGACAGAAAAGAATTTGGTTAATCAAATAATATCGATTGAAAGGATATATATGTAGTCTTAACATAATCAAATAACATTTTCACAACTCTTAAAAAGCTTCTCTATTTTTCAGCTGTGATGATTTCTTTTTTAAACCATCTCTTTTGAGTTGTAACATTTTTTATCAAGTTGAATTAATTCACTTTTGATGATTGATAGAATAATGTTTATTTAACTCATTCATAGTAATAATTCGAAAATCTGTTTCTTTGCTCGAGTTGTTCCACTTTTAAAGTAAAGAAACGATATATTATAAAAATATGACGTGTATACAATATATGTATTTACATTAAAGATAGTTTTTATAACAACTTGAAATGTTTAAGAAATGTGTTATTATTATTATTATTATTATTAAATGTGTTGAAATCTCAAAAATATTAAAAATAATAATTCTTTTATTCATATTAATAAAATGTATATCTCTTTATATATGCATCGTATTTTTTTATATACATATATCTATCGTTTATTAAGTATTAAGTTTACGGACACTTAGAAAGAAAGTAAAACACATATTCTTGTATAATTTTGACGACATAACTACAATTATTTGATCTTTTTTTTACCATAACATAATAAACGTATCCGTCATGGATTTAAAAAACTTTTCAAATTTTTCTTGTCAAAAAATTCCTCTTTTGCTTTTCTTTCTCTCTGGACATTTTGAAGATACTCCCAAGTTGTGGTACGATCTGTGGACTCACTTTTCTTATCCAGCTATCATTCAGAAAGATTTTTTTGATGAAAAAATTGTAAGTTTTCCAGGCAACACATATCAAACCGTGATGTCCGTGACACATATCTTTGTCATTTTATATAATTAAAAAAGATCAAATTATGTCACAAAATAAAAAATTTACGCAAGCATATATGTATATTTTATTTTTAAGAATGTCCGAGAACTCTTATAAACGATAATGTATTTTTTTAAATTCCCACACAAATCAATATATAGTTCTGGAACATATTTAGAATGAGACACGTGTCTATAAATCTTGCTACCTACAGTGCTTGATGTTCTTTCGAAGCATGGATTTTTCCTTCTGAGATATATTCTCTATATATAATAAATCTGTAAATATTGAATATCCCTTAGCCAAAACTTCTGACAAAATTTTTGGGCAAACTTTCTTTTATTACAACCGAGAGAACACTGCTTACTTGAAATATATGAGAGAAAAATGTTTATTGAGTTCATTGTGTTAAGCGTATGCAGTTTATTATTTTTTAAAATAACTTAATATTTTTTGCTGATCGCATTAGATATGATTAAAAATACTGTTAGGTAGTAAAATATTAAAAATGAGTAAGATCGTATAGATATTGATAATGATAATGGTTCGTTTTTGATCAGAAAACTTATCTCTGTTTAAAAAAACTGTCTATATATTAAAAATCTATGAGAGAGAGAGATAGAGAGAGATTTAAAATACTTTACCAAATATTATCCATTAATTACGTCTTGCAAAATCTTTATAAAGCTCTTCATGTCATGCCGAGATCATACCGTGTGGTGAAACTGCAAGAACTGCAGCAATGATCGATATCTACTTACCTCATCTCAAAGTCGTGTATCTCTTGCAGGGTGAGGGTGTTGGCAACATCTAGCAACTGCCGCATGTTCTCCTCGCGTCGTCTGGCGTCGGCGTCTGGGTGCAGTAGAATCGTCGCCGCGGGCGCGTCCAGCGACAAGGACGGCTGTTGTACCACGATCGTCGCCTGAGTTGATCGCTTGCTGCCGCCACTTCCGCCTTTCAGTGAATGCATGAAAAATTTACTATCCGTTATCCTGTTCTGGGGCTCGTTGATTTTGCGGGTCACGAATCGGCGGCAGAGAGAACCGGCTCTCATCCCCGCGTCCTCGTTCCCGTATTTCCTCTCATTCCGCTCTCGCAGAATGCATTTCTGGAGTCTTATTTAGGCCACCTTTCTTCGTTTTGCCTCCTCGGCAAAATTGCCGAGAAGATTACGCGAGATGCGTGTCTGACGACGCATTTGTGGTTGTTCTGACGGAACCGCCGTCACTCGTAAATCATTTTGATGATGATACTGCGCAACAATCTTTTCGATACGAGGGTAGAATCTCGATAATGCTGACATCGATTATGGAAATAGTTTGAGTATATTTACCCGTCGAGTGTACAGACTGGGTTAAGGGTCTTTACCCTGAAAAATTTTCCATAGTTTTAGCTCGCAGTGAAGACCGCAAGGAGATAATGTAACTTTAATAGTACGAAGAAATTACACATCTTTCACGTTTAGTCATTTATTTTCTTATCTTTATCTTAAGCTCATTCCATAATTCACAACAAAATTCGAAACAGAATTCAAATTATAATTTTATATATCAAATTATGAATTTACGATCTCAAAATTGCGATCTCATGTTTTAAAACGCTCGATTGCAATGTGATTGGTCGATTTGCTTACGGTTTTATGATTATGACTAAAATTTTTGTACGTGTGATGGCTTTAATAGTATCTAATTTTTGTTAGAAAACCTTGCCTTCGAAATCGATCGCGCAGTTCTCAAAATAAAAATTTCCATACATAATATAGCGATTACTTTTTTTAAATAATAATACGCAGGCATTTCAAAAATGAAATACATGTGACCTCTAAAACTGAGAAAAAATGAAACGCGAAAAAATTCATTGGTAATCATCACGATCGGCTCATTAATCTATAGATAAAATTTTGTCATTCCTTTTCGAGACAAATAGCACTTGAAATTAATGCTATCAATGATGATCGTCTCAACAATCCTTTTATGTAGGCGATAGCTGTTATTTTCTCGTGAACTTTTCTCATCTGAGCTTCTTCTCGGTGTTTAGTAATTTCTAGCCCAGCCTGTGCGAAAGTCGACGGGTATCTTTAAGACGCGGAAACCCCTCGTTTAAACAAAAGTTCCGCAATCTACGATCTCTCGCGCAATTGCAATTACCGAGATTCCATCCGGCACTGTCGACGTGACGGACGGAATAATAACAGGGATTGTGGATAGCGAGGACGGCGATCCCGCAGACGCGGTGTGTAATAGTGAATAGAAACAAACAGGTAAAACGAAGCGTGATTCGATAGCAAGTCTCAAGCGGCATTCCCAAGTTTTCTCCTTCGAGTTGCTAAATGGCGCGGCGTAGCCGAAGCAAACAATCGCGTTGCTGAAATCGATATCACGCGTGAATTAAAATTTCAGGCCTATTCTGTAACTCTTAACTCAAATTTCGTTATCTTTTACTATGATAAAGAACTGCACAGCGGCGGTTATAACAATAACAAAACTTGCGTTAAGAATTACGGAATAAGCTTGCTAATATAATTTCGACGAGTTTTTAGATTTCGATGCTACAACTATGCAAAAATGAATCTAATTGTAGTCGTGAGTGATCTTGCGTGCTCACACAATCCTTGACCGAGATAAGATTAAATTTAATTTTCTTGATCTTTTACTCTCTTTCAAACACGTGTTTGCATTTATATAAATATTTTTTAAGATTAATATTAATTAAAATTTGAAAAGAGAATTTAATTATATAATTAAATATGTAATTTCGTGATAATGAAGAATGACTTAAATATAATATAAACTGTGTACTCTCTGCCTTTTAATACATATAAAATGCTACATATAAAATGCTAAATGATAGTTTTTTCACATACGAAATATAAATAATTTTAATTAAACTCGAACTCATGAAAACTAGTCTTAATTGTATTTAATGCAATAAAAATTTTGCGAGTCGAAAATACTCTATGCTTAACATATATAATAAAATACGTTTTTCCATTTTTATCTGCAGCATTCAAAATATTCAACTCGATGAAATTATATAATTTTAATTCTCAGTATCGTGGTATCGTCGATGAATCTATGTCTAGCTAATCATCTATCTATAACGACAAAATTCACATTTTATAATACATACAGTACAAGAGAAAGCAGAAATGTGAAAGAGGTAGAAATTTGTAATGAGATGTACCTACACAGTTTTTTCCTAAAAAGTATATAAATTTTTTTTTATTAAATTATAATAAACAGTATGATATAATTTCAAATTTTATATCTCACGAGATGCAAACTTCAATATATGAACATAATAAATAGAATTTATTTAAAAAATATACGTTTAATTTTTTACAGATTGGTAACATAATGAATAAGAGACTGATAATGTAATCTCATGTTCCTATCTCTTCTTTCATGGACCGTTCCCATAAGCATCGAATAAGTTAGTGAAGGTTTAATTGACTTTCAGTTTTCACTTTTCACTTTTCTAGATCTATTCTTTTTAAAAAGATGTTTTGTTAATCCTCCGCGTGAATTTTAATTAGTGTTTATGCGAACGGTTTAACTTACACGATGGCGACAGAAATCACACTAAGCCGATCAGTGTATTTTGCACACGTAACATTTCCCTCGGCTACGACACTGATTACCATCACAGACTTCGCGAGACAACGAGCTACGACATTAAGAACGTCGATATTAGGATGGACGATATGGCATCGATAATCAATATATCTTTAGCGATATTCCACCCAATAACTGATAAAAAACATCGACAACTTTACCAGTAATATTTATTATATCAACATGAAATATGCCTATATCCACTTTCGATAAGTAAGATTGTAACGCATTGATGCTGCGAGTGTCATGATCCGTGGCTCATAGCGGTGCTCTCTGCCATTTTATTCAGATCATTGATTAATTTTGGATGCGATCCACTAAAGCGCTACAAATGTTTCAAAGTATATGATTGAACATTAGAAGAAAGACTTTTACTAATTGGCCAATCAAAGAATTCTTTAAAATATTTAAGAATGTCCGGCATTTTTCTTCAAAATTGTGCGACATAGAAGAATATGTGCTATCTTACTTTTACTCATTTTTTAGTGGCGTTGTGGCTCTGTAAATGTGGCTGCTCTATAGTTCCTGGCGAATATAAGTAAACACGGTGAACATACATAGTTTTGTGTAGTCAAATTTTTTCTCGATTTTGCATAATATTTAAGTATAAGTATTTTTTTCTGAGTAAAAATGATTGGATGCATCAGCCCTTTTCTGCAACAATTTATCATCAATAGGCTAGATCGCTAGATAATCAAATAACTGCGGTGAATTGAAGAAAAATGTCGGATCACTACACGTTTACACGGCTCAATTTACGCTAAAGTTGTAACATTGATATTATAATTTTTATTATAACATTTTATTATCATTTTATTATATTTTATTATAATTTCGCTGTAAATCGAGCCGTGTAAAGGTAGTCCATAACAATAATAATATATAATATAGCAAATAATCATCTATAATATAGTAAATATAGTTATTACAAAAAAGTTTTCATAATTGTTTTTTTTTCATTTTTTCATTTTATTCCGCTTTTAACTCTACAATATATTTTTATAGCTTCATTAAAAGATTTTTATTTTTTTTTATCGTTATTGCCTTTATCGATATTTTTGTGTTGATATTTGAGTGGATCAGCACTGCAACTGGTAATGCATATCGATATAAGTATCAATGCGACAATGTTATATCGTCTATCCCTTGTCGGCATCCCAAAAGGACAGTGCCAGAATAACTTTAGTCAAATAAAAAAGTAATATCTATTCTCGCGCGTGCTGTTTTTTTACTCTCTACCACAAGATCGATAAATGTTATCGTCGTCCTCGTAACTCGTTGCCGTTGCCATTGCTGAGATTCACACGACAGAGGCGCAAGCAGTTGATCGACAACGCAGAGAGAGAGAGAGAGAGAGAGAGAGAGAGAGAGAGAGAGAGAGAGGCCAGAGAAACGCTATGAAAACAAGAGATGGAGAACAAAAGAAAACAAGCCCAAGCGCATTCGCATTTGTGTTACTGTGTTGTATCCATGTAATACCATTAAATACCATTAAAAAGAGCGGCCGCCGAATTGTAGGAAGCTTTATTAGATAGCTTTATCATATCCCATTGTTCTCATTCATTCACACACTCGTCGTCGTCTACGTCTACGTCTACGTCTACGTCTACGTCTACGTCTACGTCTACGTCTACGTCTACGTCTACGTCTACGTCTACGTCTACGTCTAACGTCGTCGTCGTCGTCGTCATCATCGTCATCATCGTCATCATCGTCATCATCGTAATCGTCGTCGCCGTCGTTTATGTCGTCGTTTATGTCGTCGTCTACGTCGTCGTCGTCGCATAAGTTTCATGCGCTTTCAACGGTCGCCCTGGTATGGATACGATGCCTACATGATCTATTCGCCGGACTATGTAATACCTATTGCGCAAAACGGGAAAAAGAGCCTGACCCATGAATGAATGGCTGAAACGAGTGGATGAGATTCTGAAAAAAAAGAACATCAATTGATTTCCTTACAGATACCGTCCATTTTTCTCATTTCTTTTCTTTTCTTCTATTTCACATGTGTTACATACGCGCGATACGCGCAAACATATATTATATTAAAAACGCATGGAATTGGTTCACGTCGATATCAATTAGCGCTAACTCTGATGTATTTATATTTTATTCCCTGCATTTGTGCGAATATCGTTGAAATTGATACGCGGAGTAAAAACAAAGCAATTATATTTTCAGATAAAGAAAGCACTACAATGATATTCTAATAATACGATTAGTCGTTGTGATATTTTAATTTAATTAATTTTGACAGCTTTGAATTACTTTTAATGAAAATATTCCGTGTTGGACTAGACCTTTCCACGGTCTCTCTGTGTTATAATCAAGATTATAAGAGTCATATAGTGTATAGCTGCCACACAATCTAGAGACAGTGAGTTCCTAAGTGGAATTACTTAAACATCTCAACTGCAGAATGGATCGATAGTCTTGGTTAACTGGTTAGACCCATTGACAGCCCCGGCTAAGCAACACGCATCTGGAGAGTAAAATCGGTTGCTCGCGATCGATGCTAACCGAGGTTACCGGTTTTCTGTCTCTTGATTCGTAATGATAACCGCGAACGAGTGATCGATCACCATTAGTAGGATCCAAGCTCATCAAGTAACTACTACGAATATGAATTCGGCAACGAGATCAAAATGAGAGAGGGGGAAGGGAATAGGTAAACTGAGAGAAGGGGAGAAATATATTCGCGCCTAGAAATTCGTGATAGCGAAGTCGGTGGGGTGAATAGAATATAACAAATTCTTTTTTCCTTCTTTTATCGCCAACAAAGCCCGGGTTGCGATGTGGTCTGTCGTCCCCGTCGTAATTTCATCTTGATGTCGTCTTTAAGAAACTACTTGAGAATGTAGTACTGGGGGATTGCTATTTCGCAAAAAAAACAAGAAAAAAACTCTCAAGAGACTCACCAGCTGATCGTCCTCGCGATTTCGTACTCGCATTACTCTGAACATTACAGCCCTGGGTATTGCATGGCTGGGTCGCACTTATAAGTGATATATCGAGCGGATTGGTCGTCACATTGATATTGGGCCTCTTCTGACTGCGCTTGTGATCGATCGTGCCCTTTTCCGATGCAGTCACCTGAATCGAGTTGACTTTTCCACCGGCCGCATAATCGATTTGATATCCCACTCTGGCGTTGTGTTTCTCCTGGGCGGCCACCAGATTTCGAATCGAAGACCGCGTGTCGACTGAATCGGGTTGGCCCGCGTCCACCGAGCCCCTCACGGGAGTGCTGAATGCAAACACGATTATAGAATACAGAATCCGTTGCGATTACGTAGGTGGCAGCGATTGACAAATTCACCGAATCGAAGATATCCTCTAACTCTTACTCGAACTTGAAGTAAAATTCAGCCTAGGAAGTCAATTTGAAAATTTCTCTGTAGCTTATAGCTATATAGCTGTAAATTTTGTATCCCGAGGGGAAAAGGTGGTAGAAGTAAAAATTATATTAATTCCCTTCAAAATCTCAATTTTTGCTCAAAACAGAGATGGAAATCTTTAATTTAGAAATTATTGCATGAGATAGCGATATAAAATCGAAAAAAGGGAAATACATATAACTAAATAAGGGAAATAAATAAGGGAAATAATAAATGACTAATTAACTAATCATTGTACCAACAGATGTAGTTCTGTAGTACTGATATACTATACTTTTCGTCCTCTTTCCTAAATCTTTCTAAAATTCTTATCTTTATTTTAAAATAGAAGAGTTAAGATAGGGAAGCCGAACGTTTCATACAGTACTCTTTAGACATCTCAATGCTTCTGATTTTACTTTGTAAATTTCAAATAAATTTTATTAGGTACACTGCAACATTGATCGACAGTTTTCTCATTCAAATCGGCCATGAAATGAAATTTTTTAAATAAAATCTATAATATCACAGTGTAAAATCTATTCTCTATAGTGATGTTATTTGCTGTTCCTCGTCTAATTGTGTTTCACTGGGATTATTATTCACCGAAAAGTCAGTTAAAATTACCTAAAGAAATCCGCGGCTCTGAGATCCGGAAGAGGCGGGGTTCTGCCGCTGCCGCCGAAGGTAAATCTGGTTTCATGGTGCGTGGAAACTATCGACGTGAGTGATGGAAGAATCGTCGCCGTACCCTCGTTATTACTCGCGTTGTGACCCTGATTGATAGAGGTACCGGTGGTCGTCTTATTGTTACCATCCTGTTGACCTGAATCAAGTTTCATGCGCATGCTACGATTCGAGGGCCCGGCGATCTCGGTCTCATCGAAGGCGCAAAGCGGGGTCATGGGCGACGACGGAAGCGGTAATGGCGGTGTGGTTTGATTCGCCGCGATCGGCGCCGCGACAGAGATCGGTGACGTGGGCGACGTCGGCGACGAATTATGGTTGCCCCCGAGCGTATCGTCGGGATGTCCCCGAAGACCAACAGGAGGGATGGATGATTGCGACGGAGCAGTAGCGGGAGGCGACATTTCAGCTGGCACGTCGATTAGATCGAAGCTGTCGTCCGGCTGCTCCCCGTCTGTCGTCGTTACCTGGAGAACGGAAAGAAATCGGGCCAACGAATGCTGAATTATTTGTCTTGATGTATTTTATAATCGATAAGAATTATTTCGAGGTTTTTCAAATTGCATACAATACTGCTCAGTCAATCGCGAGAATTTTATTCGTGTATTTATTATATTTCAGCGTATTATATTTATGCTTATACAAGGTGTCCCGCAATTTTTGACAAAGCGCTCTTGTGTAGATAGAGCGGACTAAACTGTATCGAAAAGTCTTTTACCATTTTACAGTTTTCGCAACTTTTTTTTTAGTTATCCTATAATAAACAGAATGTCTAAAATCATAAAAGCATAAGACAATTTTAGGATATCTTTAAGAGTTTTTTAAGAAATATCTTTGAGATATTTCATAAAGAACTTTGAGAGATATCTTAATGTTGTCTTATATACATCGATTTTATCTGTTTATTCGGCAATTTTTAGAAATTAATATTTCGTTAACTGTTGCGACCATTATAAAACGGGAGAGGACTTTCCGATTCATTTTTTCATAAACGGCACGTACATATCGATTCCTTCGGCTGGTCTGGATTACCATGTATACATATACATCGATTATTCTTTTAAAGAAACGTTAAAAATATCAATTACCGCCTCGGTGCAACGTTTAAGATTTTTTTCGCGTGAAACCAGATTTTTTTTCTTATTGAGCACCTATCATTACAGAAATTGATTGATGTGTCCGAGTTTGCGTAAAGTAATGAATGAATATCTTCAAAGTGATTGGTAATCTAAAAGGATGATATCTCAAATTTTCTCGGAGATATTCGTTCATTACTTCACGAATTCAAACGCATTAATCACTTCCCAGATAGACTTGTATGACGATCACGATATGCACAAATTAATTTACTGAAAATTTAGAACAATTTTATAATCATTTATGACATTATAAAAGCGAAAACGTTTATATTAAGGAAAATATAAAATTTAGGTTATTTGAATGATTAAATTTTTTGTTATAGAATTACAAAAACATATGTATGAAAATATATCTTCAGATCTATAATATTCGTTTTACGATATTGCTATATGAAATATTTACATCATACATAATTAAATGAAATACATCGTATAATGATGCACATTTGCAATTATCATGTGATGCTATAGAAAGCTTAAATAATTTTTAAATTTTTCTTCATTTCATGCCGCATAAAGTAAGATAAATATACTGTAAAATTTGGATAAACAAATGTCGATTTTGATATACCGAATTTTGTTGAAAGAGAATTCGTAATCCTGATGTGATGTCATAGTAAGCATAAATGATTTGTAAACTTTTACTTATTTCATGTCGCATAAAGTAAGATAAATATATTATAATATAAAGTTTAAATAAACATGTCGATTATGAAAAATTCGCGCGAAAGTCCACAGAAATCACGCAGTGTGGCGTTGATTTTTCCATCGAAAGTTGCATGGTTTGAAGAGGGACACATGATGGAAATGTGGACTTGACCTTGAGTGACCTTGTCAAAATCAAGTTAAGGTCATTAATGTTTTTTTTCTTAAGTAGAATCCCTATTTTTTATTACATATTCTTGTAGCTAACCTCGAGAGCTTTCCAAAACACTATAATTAAATTCATTTTCATTAAGTTATATACTTTTCGAATTATAAAGGCTTGAAAATTACAGTACCGCCGGCATTAGCATTACCCAAGGTGTCCGACGGACGGCTAAAACCTCTTGTTGTTCAGAATCATGGATAACTTTGTTCCTGGATAAATTTGTCAAGATCAAGGTCATTGGAGGTTGTTTTTCTTATTTTCATTTTTGCACAAAAATTCATTTCTACGTAAAAATGAAAATAAGAGGTACAACCTCCAATAACCTTGATCAGACACCCGTATATAAACATGCATATTACATATATGATCAGTACGAATGACAAAATAAAATCCAATATATGTCAAATTTATAAGTGTTCAGACAAGCGTGCGATTAGCTCAGCGTTAGCGTAGGTAGGCTACCACCCCAAAGATTGTAGGTTCAAATCCCGTCGATACTCCATGCGTTTTCAAGAATATTTATAATTGCGTTATATAATTATAAGAATTTGTATGTACAGAAAAATAATTAATAAACTTAATAATTATTCCGAAAATAAAAAATAAAATCTAAAAAAAAAATAAAAACAAATTAAATTATAATTAAATTTTTTTTTCGTTAAAATATACTCAGTAGACAAATGTACATATACTTTATAGCAACTTCACGTTTATTTCAATCATCCAATGCTTCATAGATGAGCCGATTAAGATCCGAAATATTGCAGCAGCATTTAGTAAATCAGAAAACGAAATATCATGATGTGCAAATATGATGTAAATATGAGACACTAAGAATCAGATTTTTGTTTGTCATATTTACATCATATTTGCGTCATAGTATTTCATTTTCTGATTTACTAAATATGACTACAATATTTGGGGTCACAATCGCCTCACCTATTACGGATTTGATGATCGAATACAACGTAAAGTTGCAGTAAAATTTATGCGCATCTGTCTATCTGGGATGCCCTCGAGCGAAAAAATATGACGGGGCTCGCATGTTGATTTTCATACTTAACTGTGGTCTGTGAAATACCTATGAATACCAAACACGCAAAGGTGCCCATTAAATCCCAACGCAATGCAAAGAACACACGTACTTTTTTCAGTATGGATTCATTAAACAGCAAATATGCAAACGTTTCGTTGAGATCGGCGCATAATTTACTAACTTTCTTCGACGCTGTGATGCAACCTCGCAGGGCACGCGCGCTTCATCAATTAACATACCTAATTACCATTTAATATCGCGTAATAATATTTAATGCTTACAACAGTTACTCATAACTGAAGCTTGTGTTTGACTTTACATTGCTTTGTAAAAGTATAATATATTATATAATGTAGTTTACTGAAAATGTTAATATTATATTAATAATATAATGTATTAATATCGCTTTATACAGGTATATTCAAATCTTATGAAGTTACATAATAACAATATAATATATGTATTTAATATATGTATATTTCGCGTAAATATAAATAGGCGAGCTTAATTCAAATCTCGATTTTGCGGCGATAGACACAAATTTAACTTTAATCTCGATTTTAATTTTGATCCAAATTTCAATTTTAATTTTAATTTTAATTTTTAATTATACATAATAACGTATATTGGCATAATATCAACAATATGCTCTTGTATACAAATCGTGAGCATTCTGCAGTATCTATTTATGTTGATATGTGCCACCCACGTCCGGTCAAATTTGCATCGCGTCACGTGCCGCCAA